CGGGCCTGGCACTCTTGTCTGTGAGTCACTCGCCTCCCTGAGTGCCTCAAGGGTTCCCAAGTCCTGGAAGAAGGTTCCTGTGTCCACAAAGCCTGGCGCACGATGGATGGAGCCACCCTGGACCAGTCACGCTGAAGTGTCCGCCTTCACGGGGGTTATTCCTGCCATTCAGAACAAAGAGCAGCAATAATCACTCTCTTGGAAGGCGGGGATGGGAGGCTGGCTCCTAGGTTCTCCCATTCCCTGCCCTGTCTCAGGCTTGCAGAGGGCTAAGGCCAAGCCCACCAGCTCAGCCTCCTTGCAGCCTGGGGTTAGAGGACAGCTGTTCCTTGGTGGGTCACCTGGAAGTGTCCTCTCTGGGCCAAGCCCCATGTGGGAAAATGTCCTGTCCCCCACTGTGGATGGACCTGCACCGATGCCCTCCTCCTCAGGTCGCCACAGTCAGCCCAAGTGACCCGTGGAAGACAAAATCTCAGTTGCTCCTTTGGGTCAGGGTTTCCCCCACAGCAGGCCCTGGCAGCTCCCTGCTCCCTCCCAGGCTCTGCAGCACCCTGGCAGCCATTACTACGTTGTTGTTGTTGCCCGGTATCTTTTACCGTTTGCCATGGGAGTGTTGCCCTGGGTAACCTGCCTGCCTTCTCCAGAAGCAGGAGTGCAAAGGGACCTCTCTGGTGACTCCCATACAATGACTGCAACCACAGCCGTCTTCCAGCGGGCCTTAGGGCCACACCCAGGCCCTGGACTGGGGATGACATGTCCATAGCCTGTCCCCGCCACATGCTTAGCAAACAGCAACTGTCCCGGATCCCTTGGGTTCCCGAGCCCCTGAGACTCAAGTCTAGAGATAGAGTCAAGAGGACATGGAAGAGCCCTAACTCCCCACTTGACTTTGTCCCTGAGGCAGGCATCCTAATGCCCTGCATGGCTCTGCCTGTGCCTGCACAGTTTGGAACCAGTCCCCGATCCCCGCCCGTTGTAGACATGGCACACAGTAAGCAAGATATGGAAAGTGCTAGTCAGCATGTGATGCTTCCCCTGTCCTGGAGGCCCTAGCCACACCCTCTGGGAACTGCAGAGGTGATGGCAGGAGCAACAGGGGACAGTCGCAGGCCACACCCACTGCTGAAGCTCGTGGGCTGAGTGGCTCCAGGCCCTAGGCCATATCTTCTAAAGTGGACACCAGAGGGTCAGAGAAGGTCGGGTGAGAGTGTGAGTGCCAGGGCAGCCCCCAGCTGCGGCGCAGCAGGCCCTCAGTGAAGACGGCTGCTCCCTCTTCCTCTGTCACTTGCTCCTGCTCTGTGCCAGCTGCGGTCCTTTATGCTAGGGACACAACTCGAAGGAAAGACCTGTCCCAGCTCATGTCCACACTGAAGCCAGTACTAATGGGAAGGGGCAGGCAGAGCCAAGCTGTCAAGGGGACCGTGGCAATAGTCGCGGCCCCCACCGTGACGGACATGCGGGACCGCGGGCGATGGCGGTGTGCGGGAGCCCTCGTGACCCTGGCACTCTGAACCCTCCATGGGAACCTTCGTAGTTTTTATGATTTTCTTCTTTCTTCTGAGAGGATAGTGCCAGAAACAGTTCTAGTGAGGCCAGAGGTCTTTTAAATGAGGCTCTGAGTTGAGATTTAAACACACTTTGTTTGTTCGCTTGCTTGTTTGTTTTTAGGACCAGGGATCAAACTCAGGACTTCGTGCTTTCGAGGCAGACATTAGCACCACTGAGCTAAATCCCCATCCCCACTTTACATTTGGTGCTGAAGGGATGTCACTGGCCCTCCCATTTCCTCTTCCTCTGGCTTAGGGGACCTAACCCTCTCCCGTCGCAGAGCTGGTGGCCTAGCCAGTTTGTGCTCATCCCCAGGGCTGGGACACTCAGCCCCACTGGGTCTGTGGCTTCAAAATCCCCCTGGGGACTCTGGCCAGGGTCGAGGGGACTGGGCTGTCCCACAGGATCCTCCTGTGCTGTAAGCTGTGGTCCGGCTGGGGACCACGTTCTAAAACAGCCCACATGTGTTTCTGCACATCGGGTCCCATGACCTTTCCCAAATCCCACCAGCTGTTTCCCAGGAGAGACCGTGCTGCCCACGTAAACAGGGGTGCACGTTTCCCCGGGAAGCCAGCATCAGGCTCTGGCTCCTGACCACCAGAGACAGAAGTCTCTATGGACTTGGAAGAGTATATTTTGAGTCTTTGCATGTGGGTGAGCAGCTCCCAGAAATAAATCTGGGTTGGTAGCAGGAAAAGATGAGCTTACCACACGTGGGCTGGGGACGGTCATCTCTCCTGATTGAGGGGTGTTCCGTGATGATAGCCTGTGAGTCACCAGAGCTGGGGGACCCTCTTTGGTGAGCTGGATAATGCATGTCAGGTCCCAGCTGCCTTGAGGGCAGGGAAAGGCCGCTCTGAGCTCACCCCTCCTTGCCCCAACTTCTCCTGCTGGCCAGAGGACTGGATGGGGCTGCTGAGAGCTCCAGAGGCCCCTCTCTCTGCTTACACATGAGGAAATAGGGGCACAGCATGATAAAGTCACTAACTAGAGACCCTGTGACAAGGGCAGGCAGGATTCTGGTGCAGGCTGCCCGGAGCCCTCTCCACCTGCCCCTCTAGGGTCAGCAGGGATCTGGGCCTCTCTTACATGAGCTCCTGGTGGGGGCTGCCTCTTCCAGCTCCTGCCAAGATGTGTCAGTTCAGAGGGAGTCCATACCCGTGCTCTAGGTTCAAGGGTGCCTCGTGTTGCAGGCCTGTGAGCCTCATGCCTGGAGTGCCCTGGTCCTGCTGTCCTCTCCCCTCCAGGCAGCAGAGGCCCCATGCTTCTGCAAAGCTCCCCGTGTGCTCAGGAGTCCTCAAACCAAGTCTTGCAAGGCCCCATCCTGCAGCTTCCTGAGTGCAGTGTGCAAATGTGGCCTTATTTGGAAAGAGGGTCTCAGCAGGTGGATTAAGTTAAGCATTTTGTGGTGAAATCATCCTGGGTTAGCCGTAAATCCAGTGGGGGGGGCGGGGTCCCCCAGAGGGGAGGAGGCCAGGTAAGGACAAAGGTTGACATAGCCATGAGCCAAGCAACACCTGCAGATCCCCGGAGTTGGAGGAGTATAGGAGGGAATGTGCCCTGGCCACCCCTGCATTTCAGCCTTCTGGCCTCCGACTTAGAATACATCCCTATGGTTCAAAGCCCTCCTGCTATGGTCATTGGTAATAGCAGCCCCAAGACACTGATACAACAAGTAGCATAGTAGGCATCTCTGTGCCTCAGTTTCCCCAGCTGTAAGTGAGCCCAGGGATAGGACCTATCACACAGGCTTGTTGTAAGGATTAAACGAGGGGTACACATCACGGGCATAAAGCAGGGACTGGCAGATGAAACGTGCGCACGGGCATTGGCCTCCATCACTGTCGTCAGTGTTGTTACGATTGCCCTTCATTCATTCGTGTGTTCATTCATCCATTTGGCCACTTGTTCTCTGTGGCCTGTGGGCACCGGGGCAGCAGGAAGGAGGCCTGAGCAAAACAAGCCTGTTTTCAGGGGCCGGTCAGGTGTGTGGTGATGGGGCGAGGCCGGGGGCCTTGTGAGGGCCGCACAGGTGACCAGTGGCAGGTGTCATTGGAGGAGGAGCAAGAGAAGCAGGAAGTGGACCTGGGGCTTCAAGAAGGTGCTGCTCCTCAGGTGGGACTCAGAGTGGCCCCAAAGGCAGCCAGCTCAGCAGCCCCTCTCCCTGGCTGCCCTTGCTTGGGCCCCAAGGACATTGCTGTCATGGCTTCCGTGCTCCACGGGAGCCTTTTCACCCTCTTCACATTTGCTTTCATGAATGTCATCCCCAGTGCCTTTGGCTCTGTTGTCTTTGGCCAGCAGCCTACAGGCATCTATGCATTGTGCCACTCCTAGGCCTGTTGGCATGACCACAGTCAGCTCTGGATCCCAACTGATGGCTCTGTAGCCTGAGCAGGTGAGCCAGGTCCCTGCGTGAGGTCTTCTAGGTCTCTGAACTGGGAAGGAGTGAGTGGGGCTCAGTCTGGGGCCCAGCCTGCCTTCAAGCCTCAAGGGATCAAGGACCCACAGCCTACGGGCAGCTGGGACTCGGGGTCCCTTGTGCTCTTTGCTGCTGTGGTTGTGATTACAGCAGTGCTTTGTGGCAGCTGAGAGCCTCGGGTTCAGAGCGCCTGGCAGTGCTCACACGTGAGGGGCTGGTGTGCTGTGACTGCATGTATTCTGTGCCCTTGATAAAGGTCCTGTCTCTGACACCAGATCCATCAGGAGAAGAAAGCATTTCAGTCTCGGAGAGGGAGGCCCTAGAGATACTGCGGCCTGGGTGAAAACTGCATCCAACCTATAAGCAATGAGACACTGGTCTGGGGTGGCCTCCTCTCAGACCTCAGTGTTCCCATCTGTAAAGGGGCATGAGCAGCGCTGTCCTCGTCCAGCTTAGAATGAAGGCCACTGTAGCCAGTCCTCGTGAAGCCCTGTCCTCACCACCCAGGGCTCGGCGACAGTCCGCTGGTTTGTTACTGATGATGGAATGGAGAGCTGGCTTGTCTGAGCTCACAGCAGTGAGATGGGGAAGCCAAACTCGAATCTCCTGTGAGAGGAGCGTGCGGATGGAGGGAACTCAGGAGGAAGGGCAGAGCGGACTCGTCCTTGGCCATCACCTCCTTGTCCCTGCTTGGGGAACCAAGGCCAAGGAGCCCGTGCTGTGTTGTGAAAGGCTCCGTTTGGTGGCCTGGGGTGCTCTGGGGACTCTTGACCGACCCCCCTGAAAAGTTCCCAGAATCTCCGTAGTCTGTGCCCCCCATTACCTCTCTAGGCCTTAAATGTTCCCATGTGACTTGGGGGAGTCCCCGTTACCCCTGACATCTACAAGAAAGGACCCGGCGGTGCTCAGAGTATGGGTGAGGCAGGTGTAGCCATGCACAGAAGCCTCTCCGTAGACCGTACACACATCTTAAGAGGTAGAGATGGTTTTTGACACGTGTGGCCCACCCTGACTGCGGACTCTTCTCTTCTAGACTAAAATCCATGGGGTTGGGTTTGTCAAAATCCATGCCCCTTGGAACGTTCTCTGCAGAGAGGCTGAGTTTTTGAAACTGAAGATGCCGACAAAGAAGGTTAGTGATGCTGTTACTACTCCAGAATACATCACCAGATCTGAGTGTCACACAGACACCTGGCAGGGGAAGGTCACTGGCTCAGAGCTCTGACCTGTTCTGAAGAGCCCAGTGGGTTTTATCGCCACCCCGGGGAAGGCAGCATGGCTCAGATGCGATGAGGTTCCCCTGGTTCCTGTGTCCCCATCATGGAGATGATGGACCCAGTCCTCGGTGGCCTTTACAGCCCCCTAACCAAATCCTACCAGGAGAAGAGCCAAGCGCTGGGCCACTGGAATTTATGATAAATACAGATCCAGTTAAACTTTGAGCTCTGGTGCTTTTATGCTTGTGGGGTCTCAGCTCACTTATCAGATTCAATTTAATTACATTTCCTAGCTTGCTGGGATTTTTCCTTTTAATCTCTGAAAACTTTATGGCCCAGAAGAGTTTGACCATGGAACTAAGCTCAGCTTCCGCATTTACGTGTGTGTGTGTGTGGAGGGAGGGATGAAGCCAGGCTCCACAATGAATCAGTCCTGGGCTTCTCTTTTGAAGCAACAGTAAAATTGGGGGGACAGGATTCTGGAACATACTACAATTGAGCTCTTGGCTAGACTTTCCCAAAATGCTGAACTTTCAGGGTCAACCCAAAAAAGCAGGGAGGGGGCATCCTGGCCACCAGGAGCCCTGCTGGGAGGTGGGAGGGTAGTTCTCCGACCATCGAAGAATGGGCCCCAAGGTCAGGGCTCAGCGGATTGATTCAGACCCCAGCTCGGGTCTCGCCTGCAGATGTATCACATTAGTGAGACCCGTGGCCTCCTGAAAACCATCAACTCGGTGCTGCAGAAGATCACGGACCCCATCCAGCCCAAGGTGGCCGAGCACAGGCCCCAGACCATGAAGAGGCTCTACTACCCCTTCTCCCGGGAGAAGCAGCACCTGTAAGTGGGCCCCCCACTGCCTGCACACCTGGTAACACGTAACAAGAGCCACAGCAGAGATCTTGGCATCCCTCCTGCTCAGCTCTATCCCCTATGGGTCGGTTGACACCCACACCTTCTACAGCCCCGGCAGCTGCCAGCCAAGCAGCTTAGGGAGGTAGAATTAAAAAGTGTCCCCACAGGGAATCGTGAGCCCCAGGGACCCACAGCCAGCAGCGTTGCCTGGCAGTGCCAACCCTGTTCTAGAACCTATCATCCTTCCTTGCTCCCATGGGGCAGTGCTGCACAGCCACCTGAGTCAGCAGTGGCCGCATGCCGTCTATGGACCTCACTGAGTGGAGCTGGAGCATGGGCAGAGGAAACCTGGGGAGTCTGAAGGGTGATCTTGGGTGTGGAAGGGCCCCTGGATACCACCAGCCTTGTGGGTGGGAAAAGGGCCAGAAGCATGCACAGCTGCCTCGCTTTGCCGCTGAGGCATCTGCCCTATAGATGTGGTGGTTGCTGGGGGAGCTGCGTGGCCAGTCCTCGGGGCGGTGGATAAGTTGGGAAAGGGAAGGGACCCCCTGCCCAGTTCCTGCCATCAGCTCTGTGTAGAACAGAGGCCCACGGAGTACTTTTCCAGAGCCTTCATACCACCTCCCCTGGCTTGGCCAGGCCCTGTGCCACCCTCCAGCTCTTTCCTAAACCTAGGGAGTGAGTGGTTTTTCTGGAGATTTTCCTCTGCCCTCAAGAAGCCTCAGACAATCTGTACCGCCCTAGACATCAAGACCCAAACCACTGGCGAGTTCCAGGGAAATGGTTTCAGAATCAGAGCTGTCTTCTTGTGGTAGAATGACTCTGTCCTTGTCCCCTACTGCGCTGACTCAAAAAGCTTCCTGCTGAGGATGTTGTCAGGGAGGGCTGCCCTTGAACCCACCACCCTGGGTCTCTGCTCTGCTAGATGCAGGGACTAGTGAGACAGACTGTTCTACGTGCCTGGGGGTGGGCACGGTTCTGTCCACTGCACAAGTGACTGCCGATGGGGACAGGGTGACTTCCGGGGCTCGGAAACCCAGAGAACTGCTCCATTGAATGGCCTGTCTCCTCCCCCATGTCTCAACAGATTCGACCTGTCTGATAAGGATTCCTTTTTTGACAGCAAGACCCGGAGCACAATAGTAAGTATCACAGTCAGAATCACCTCCCCAGCAAGCAGGGTGGCCCTAGGGACACCAAGGATAATTTCATTTCGGGGAATCTCCTCCGGCGGAAGCCGGCTTTAATTGTCTTCGACAGAAATAATTAGAATAATGAAATGAGAGGGCAGCCAGCGGCCCAGGGGACAGCCGAGGCCCCAGCTGGCTCAGATGAGGAGCGTGAGAAAGAACAAAGCGAGGGAAAAGCCAGGAGGAGGGGAGGGCTTCAACCCCCCCCCCCCGTGACTGCAGCCGTGTGCCTTGCCCGTGAGGGTCCCGCACATCTCACACCGGCTCCCAGAGGAGGCTGCATGGGTGTCCCTGTCAGATCCCAGCCAGGCTTCTGAGCAAGCGAGTGCAGCATGAGGGCCGGGCAGTAGAGCTGGAGGTGCTGGGTGAGGGTCTGTTTCTAGGCCTTCACCAGATGAGCAAACCGAGATTTGAAATCTGACCAGGCCACCCTGCTCTATTCAAGGTACTGACTTAATGTTTATCCATCAGCTGCCAATTTGTCCATCAGCCAAGCCGGGCTGTGCATGGCACAGGACCCAATTTGGGATTCACCCCCCCCCCCCCGTGACTGCAGCCGTGTGCCTTGCCCGTGAGGGTCCCGCACATCTCACACCGGCTCCCAGAGGAGGCTGCATGGGTGTCCCTGTCAGATCCCAGCCAGGCTTCTGAGCAAGCGAGTGCAGCATGAGGGCCGGGCAGTAGAGCTGGAGGTGCTGGGTGAGGGTCTGTTTCTAGGCCTTCACCAGATGAGCAAACCGAGATTTGAAATCTGACCAGGCCACCCTGCTCTATTCAAGGTACTGACTTAATGTTTATCCATCAGCTGCCAATTTGTCCATCAGCCAAGCCGGGCTGTGCATGGCACAGGACCCAATTTCTATCTAAACAAGAAATTAGCCTGGCAGCCAAGCCATGCTGTCGCTCTCCACCTGCCCAGAACCCACCACCTGGCCGGGCAGCTATGCAGGGCTCAGGGGAGGTCAGCCCAGTGCACATAACGCCCTTCGCCACCTCCATCTTGACACTGGCAGGTGGCCAGCTGGAGGGTGATGGCACAGGGCGCCGTGGTGTCAGGGGCTCCAGTTACTGCCAGGACAGGAAGGTCTGAGCCCCACCCGCCCTTTGCCCCTTCCACCCTTGTGACCTCAGGGGCGTCCCGCCACCTGTATCGGGTCAAGGACAATTCTGGCCTGCCCCGCAGTGGGCATCTGTGCACCTTCATTGGGTTAGTCATGTGGGCTCGTGCCACGTACCAAGTCATTGTTGTGATTTTTTTATTACTAATGGTGTAACTAATTTTAGCAATTAGATCGCATGATAATAAGCAACAAGGAACACAGACACAACAGCTGAGCTTGGGGCTAACATGTCCATAAGAGGCCCTCCACCCACCCAGATGTTGGCCACTTGGGAGAACTGCAATAGTGTTGTTTTTTTGTTTTCTGATACCAGAGATGGAACTCAGGACTTTGCACTTGCCAGGCAGGTGCGGTGCCACTGAGCTCCATCCCTGGACCTGAAGAACTACAACAATGTTAACCTCCACTGTGTCACCTCTGTGTCACTGTGACATGGGGTAGCCAACTGTGTAAACCAAGTTGCTCACCCAAGTTTCAGTATATATGGTGCCTTGACTTTCTACATTCTCTGGGGCTGCTAGAGTGCACCAAAATTTATAAATTCCCTCCTGCTCCTGGGGGTGGCTGAGGTGTAGGGAAATGTAAGCAGATGGGAAGTTCTGATGCCGTCTTTTTGGGAATCTGCTCTGAAATCTAGTTGGTCTCCAGGTGATGGCCATTGTGACCACCAAGTCAGAGAAATGGATTCTGCCCAGACCTGTAGAAATCAACCAAAGGATCCGTGACTGCATTTACCCTGGGGGTGGAGAGGAGGGGCACTGTCATCCACTGTCCCTGGAGGCCAATTTGTAAATGACCATGTGCTCCAGAGGAACATTGGTGGTGGAAAGTTTTGCCCCTGGGTAGCCAGGCCTGATGGTGTTCGAAATTAGACGGCATCCAGAGTTGGGGTGAGGCCATTCTAGGACCAGGTGTGGGGTGGTCACGGGCCACTTACTCCTGGCATTGGGGCTGCCCAGTGTACAATGGGTAGGAGTCAGAGACGCATTGGCAAGGGCCCGATGTGCTGGTCTTAGGTTTTAAATGGTCGGCCCACAGACACTAGGGAGCCACGGAAGGCTTGGAGTGAGGTTTCGGCTGTGGTCAGGTCTGTTCTAGAACAATCACTTTGTGAGCGGGCGGTGGAAGAGCAGATGTGGGGCAGATGTGAAGTGACTGTGGTGGTCATGAGTGGGGGCTGTAACTGAGTGCAGAGGGGTGAAGTAGTAATTACGGGAAAAGCAGAGGGCCAGGAGCAGGCAAGCAGTTAGATGTGGAGGGTGACAGGGAAAAAGAGTCGAGAGTGACGGAGTGATTCGTTGCTTCACCAAAATGTATTTATTGAGCACTGACTGTGTGCGTGAGAGCAGTGAGCAGCGAGAGGGCAGGTGGTGACCGGGAGCGGGGTCAAAAGACAGCAGTGGACAGGTGCAGGGCAATTCCATGGCCTACTGGTTAAAGCAGCACAGAGCCATGGAGAGCTGGAGAAGAGCACTTCCGGCAGAAGGAACAGCCAGCGTGGAGACCCTGTGACTGCAGGAGAGGAATTGGAGAGAGGAGGCTGGGGCCCCTCACAGTGGGGTGGAGAGAGACAAGAAGACAGGACAGAGGCTGGCAGGGCCTGGTGGTCAAGGGTGGGACCCTGGCCTTGCCCAGGGAGTGGGAGCGGTAGAGGCCTCCAGGGAGAGCTACGTGCATCTGTAAGTCGGGCTGGTTAGTCGCGTCCCATTTTGCAGATGGTGAAACTAAGGCCGAGTTGGTGATGCAGTTTACCCAAGATCATGGCGATGGAGCCCACACTCAGAGCAAGCAGACTCTGCCACCAAGGCTCCTGACATAATGTTCCATTTTGGCGCCTGGGATGGGGCGAGATTCTCTTAGGAGGGCTCTGCGGGGCACTAACACAGTGTAGCACACGGAATCTCAGGCCTGCCCCGCCCTGTCCCACTGGCTTCTGGAACACGCTGGGCTGGGTCCAGGGGCTCCTGCTCCTCCTGCTCATCCCTCAGCAAAAAGGGATGCTGACCCTCTGCTCAGAGCACATGGACAGCTGTGGGGCTTAATGCCAGTGCTTAACGCTGGCCCCACTTTGTCCTGCTGTGGGAAAGAAGGGCTGGACTCTCTAAGGCCTTCCACCCCACTAGAATGCGAAGCTTAAAGCCCGCTCTCAAGAAGTGTCCTCCCTGGGACAGTGTGGGCAGCGTCATGGGTCACATCTGAACAGTCCCTTTTCGGCAAGATGCCTGCTGTGGGCCGGAGATACCACAAGTGACTGCTCACCCTCCTTGTCTCTCTGCAGGTCTATGAAATTTTGAAAAGAACGACGTGTACCAAAGCCAAGTACAGCATGGGTAAGGACATTTTTGGGGCTTGAGATCAGCGTCAGTTTCCGAATGGTAATCTTGCCTCCAAATCATCTCAGTGGGAGGTGGGCGGCCCATTTGGAGCTTTTAAAAGCGTTTTGATTTAAGTCTTTGTAACTGTTTCAGACAGGAGGGCTGGACGGCTGTAAGGAAAGCCATTCCAGGGCCAGGACAGATTTATGGCCTGGTACTGTTAAACACAGAGGTGCCCTTTGCCTTCGGGAGACGTCGTGAGCCGTGGACAGGGTCCCACCAAGGGGGCGTAACTCTGGGGTTCTGGACTCTCTTGACCCTCACACTGCAGCAGCGAAGAGCCAGGGGTCCTGCCAGGGGCCACAGCCCAAGCATCTCTTTGGGGCTTTGGAAAGCAGCAGCCCCCCCACCCCCAGCTGGGTGCAGCCAGCCAAGCCCACGCAGAGTGGAAGCCCCCCCAGGGCTTGTTCAAAGCAGCACCTCCCAGCCAGGTAACACCGTGTGCTGGTACCCTGATCCTGATCCATCCCCCCGAAAGTGGGTTCTTTGAGTCCTATAGAGAATCCCCCCGAAAACTCTGGATGGGACCCACCCTGGCTGTGTTCATGGCTGCAGGTAGGGGCATGGGCTGCTGACAGTAGGAGGTTCCAGAGCCCCAGCTGGCCCGGTCCTCACCTCCTCGCCTTTCCTCCTTCGTGGAGGGCTGAGGTACCTCTGCAGCAACCAGGCTGGGATCCTGCAATAGCAGCCCAGGAAGAGCTGGAGTCTACAGGCAGGAGGCCCATGTGCCACTGGAGGGGACGGGACAAAGCTACGCTAGAAAAGGAGGGTCTCTCAATGCAGGGACCCGTGGGGACTGGTCAGGGTGCAGGGAGAAGACGACTCTCCAGCGTTCATGCGGGATGCGTGTGCCCTGACCCTGTGGCTGAGGACCAGCAGCAGGGACATCCTTGCAGCTTGAAATCTCTAAACTCATGTCCTGTGTCAGTGAGGGTGCAGGCCAACCAGGGGTCAGAGGAAGCCAGGAAAATTGTCCTCCTCAGCCTGGCCTGCCTCTCACGGAGCCAGAGCCTCCAGAATGGGCAGGTCCTGCTCCAAAGAGCCGGGTGGAGAAGGAAGGCCACTCAGGCAGGAGCTGAGGTTTTGAAAGTGCTTCTTTAAGTCTTGCCTGCAGAGGTGTGGAAGACTTGTGGTTCCCAGGGCTGGGTCTCGGGCCTCAGTCTCCTCATCGGGTCCCTTCCGTGGAAGCCTGTATGATTGTTGTGAAGACCTGTAGGATCCAGGGTGGGGGCTGCATGGCGGGAGGGGAGTCAATACTGGTTCCCACCAGTTCCCTGGCAGGGCTGGTTTCCCCACAGCTAGTGACAGAGCAGTTGGATTGAGCCCCTTTGCCACAACCCTGCTCCGTGCTGGCAGCTCATCCAAGAGCTCTGCTGAGCTCTACATCCATTCATTCACCTTGCATCAAGGAGTGCCGGACTCGCCTTCCCAGCCTGGCTCTGTCCCAGGGGCTGGGGCTCTGTGTCCTCAGGGGATTTACATTCTAGGGGAAGGAAACAAATTCTAAATAGGTAATCAGAATACAGTTTTGCAGGATGAGGAGGGTCTGTGGGCCTCAGATAATTTTAGGAGACATAATCGGGTAAGGCCTTTCTGGAGAAGGGACATTTGGGAAGACTTAAAGAAAGTGAAGGGTGAGCCTGCTGGAAATAAGTCTGTGCAAAGGGCCTGAGGCAGCTCTACCCTAGGAACATTCTAGGAGTAGCAAGGAGGCCCACGGGCCTGGATTCCACCCCAGGTCCACTTTTCGTGCAGATGAATATTTCACTCATGTGGCTTCTGCCAAGTGCTCCCTCTCCTCTGATTTTGATTCCTGAGCATCCCTGGCCATTCTGGATCACTGACTGAGGAGATGGTCTGTTTTTAAGGGGTTCCTAGAAATCATTTTTCTGGCAGTGTCAAGGGTGCCCAGGCTGCTGTGAAAAATCTAATACACTTACCACCTAGAAAGCTGCCTCCACTGGGTAGAGGTTCAGAGAAGTTCCTGCACCGTGTTGGTCCTGGATGTGCTGGAGCAAGAGTGGGCTCCTAGGTGCCCTCTCCCATGCTGGCCTGGCGGCTCTCCTTCCCCTCTTCCAGAACCATCCTCCAGGGCTGGGCGGAACAGCCACACTATGGGCAGGTGTGGAAGTGATTATTTTTATAACGTGCCCAGCACAGGCCCTGGGCCAGAAAGCAGAGACCTGGCCCTCAACCCCTGCTCAGGAACCCTGGGCCGCCGGGAGCCCCTCACCTGCCTCCCCCTAATCCCCGTGCAGCTTTGATCCTTTGAGGCCCTTCCATGTAACTAATAGCCGATGTATAAACAGGGCAAGGAGAGGGAAGAAAGAAAGACTCTGCCCTTCTAAGTAAAAGGCGGAAATGTGGGAAATACGGTAAGTGTGGGGCTTCCTCTTCGGCTTTTCCAATCAACCTAAAATCTAATTCTAAATTGTATGCGTGTTTTCTGACACCATCAATTTTCCCATCCATACATCTTCTCATGATTCAGCTTTTCTAACCGCTTCAAATCCACCTTTCCGATCTGCAGACTTGCCCTCCGGCAGGTGGGGGTAGCTGGTGAATCGGAGGACTGGGGGCGACCCAGTTCAGCCGCAGGCTGCCTGCACCTCCTCCCTCCGAGATGGAATTTCCTCTTGGGGTTTCCTCTGTGTCTTCCTAGTCTTGCCAATCGAGCATGTTTTTATCATCTCCTAGTGGATAGATAAATCGCCCCCGCTGCGGCATCCCCGGGGAAGGACCCCAGGAAGGTGGCGGGCTCTGTGTAGCCAGGTGCGTGTCGCGTAGAGCAAACTCCTAGTGACTGGGACTGCCCTCCGGCAGATGTGGGATGGGAGACTTGGCCAGTGCTTAATCTCTCTCTGCCTCTGTTTTTAAGGCATCACAAGCCTGCTGGCCAATGGTGTGTACTCGGCCGCCTACCCGCTTCATGATGTGAGTAACCTTGACATACCCTTTATCCCTCTGTCACTTGACTCCCCAGATCCCCGTGGGCCACACTCCCTGGGAGCTGCAATTATCCTGCGGTCACGGCTTCCTGCTTGGCTGTCTCTGTAAATGTCAACAACACACAGGCCTCCCCTGTTCCCCCATGTGAGGCCGACAAGTTGCACACGGGCCCCTGTTTGCTGGCAGAACAGTCCCTCTGAGACGAAGCGTCCATGGCAGACACCATACTGGCTGTATGGGCACCTTGCAGCCAGCGGGGTCCATACAGTGTTTTCCCTGGCTCGGCCCCCCCCCCCGGCCCCGCCCCGCCCTGCCCCTTCCCGTCTGTCCTGCCCTGGGCTCTGGCAGTGACCAGGGCTCTGTATGTATATATTTCTGCAGAGCAAGTAGCCAGCTTCCTGAGCTGAGTCTCCAACTCCCACTGGTCTCCCCCTGACAAATATAGCCCAAGGCCATGGCTTGAGTGGAAAGAGATGATGATTCTGTCTTCTGTTGTTTCTATGGAAATGGGGGCTGGAGTTCAGCAGGGCACTGGGATTAGGGATCAGGCTGTGGGACCTGAGCTCTGTGGGAATCACAGACAAAGGCTTTCTGGAACTTTCCAAATGATGGCAAACACTAGGAACCCAGAGGCTGGCGGGAGAGAGAACGGGTCTGGGAGTCAGGAAGCCCAGAGTCCAGCCTGGCCACTCAGTCTGGATGGCCTTGAGCAGAGTTAGCCCCTTGATCTCCCTGACCCTCACTGTACCCGCCTATAGGTTGGGACATCTTGCCCCGGCTGATGACCAAGGCAGCAGTGGTGTCAGAGCAGAGAGGAAAGGACTGTGAGGAAGAGGCTGGATTGGGCCGATATAGGTGCCAGGTAGCACAGGGCTCTCCACCCAGATGGTCCAGGGAAAGATGCTCAGCCGACCTGCCAGTACCACCTATGGCCTCCCCCTTGGGGCCTTCTCTGCACTATACGGCTGGGCTTTGCGCCTGTGCACTTGCTGTGCCTCCCACCTGCGATGCTTTTCCCTGCCTCCCCCCAGCAAACAAAAGCATCCGTGCCAGGTCTCCCCTTTTCCGTTTTCCCCAGCTCAGTTGACGTCTTCCTCCTTCCACTGTGCTTCTGATGCCCCTGACCTGCAAAGATACCTTTGTAATCCCTGGCAAGAGGTTGGGATAGAGAAGCCATATGTTTCAGGGCCTCCTGCCTGCTTGGAGTCAGCCTTTTAAGTCTCAAAGAGGGAAGGGGAGAGATCAACATTTCCAGGATTCTGCTGTGTGTGTGTGTGAGTGTGTGTGGCACTGTGTGTAGTAAGAGCCATATTTTGTTAAATCTGGTGCAGACTCCGAAACTCAGAGAAATTTAGTAACTTGCCCAAGACAACACAGCCCCCAAGGGGGAGCTGGAGACAAAAGCAGTTCCTGGTTGTCACTGTACCATTCCATTTCCGGGAAGTGCCACGGCCTCTTCCTCCCCTGGAGGCCGAATGCACCATCATCTCGGCCCTCACTACTGCATTTGCGTGAGGAGGTCCATCCTGTCACCCACGACTGTCCGACACGGTCCCCCAGAGCAGCTCCAGCATCACATAGGGAAATGCCTCCCCGCCAGTCAGCATCGCACCTGGCCCCGCCACAGGGAAGCCTGCCCTGTGGGCGTCCCGCTTTAAAGATGGAGAAACGGGCTTGGGGTACTTGGGCAACTTGCTCGAGGATGCAGCCAGAGTCAAGCCCAGTAACTCTGGACTGTGGCTCCCTGCGTCTCTTGGGGATAAGGCATTTTCTGTCCTTGAAGGGTACTCACCCTGTTAAGGACCCAGGCTGATGTTTAAACATCTGAAGAAGCAGCTTCCTCCAAGCCCAGCCATGTGCATCCCACACCCTGAACAGACCAGGATACAGGGCTGCCCAGCACTCGCTCTGCATTCCCCCGTCCGGCTCCTCCTCTTGTCCTTCACCTGTGCTGCCTGCGTGGCATTTCCCAGCCCCTTGCCCACTGAGTTCATTCATTCATTCATTCAGCAAGAGCATCTCCCAGTCCAGGTGCCGGGAGCCAGCCAGAAGAGCAACTGCTGGGATGGTGTGCGGTGTGTGAACCCATGCTCTGTGCGAGGCCCTGAGCAGCTCTCATAATTAGCGTATCGGCTATAGCAAGGACTTTGACCTTTCTGGTGGCTGCTGGATGGCTTTCTGGCTTCCTTCCTGGTTGGCATATGCCCACCTCGAGGTCTCCAGCACACTGACCTCTGGTATGAGTCGCTGCTGGAGTGGTGAGGCTGTCTCATTCATGGAAAGAAGTGCTGGGTTGTACCCAAAGGAGCAGGGTGAGGACCTGGGAATAAAGGAGCCAGGGCCCTGAAGACTTAAGGACCAACAGGCCACCCTGTCTTGAGAGCGCTTGACTCAGAGACCCTGGCATTAGGTGTCTTGTTTGGATACATGGCCAAGTCTTCCCCTCATGGCAAGGGGTATTAGGACCGTGAAAGCTGCTAGTGAATGGAAAGTGACCCGGGCAGACTCCAAGAGGCCCAGAACTTTATGTACCAAGTGATTCCCAAGACCAGTGAGCTGGCTTGGCCATGTTCAAATTGCACAGAGCCTCTCTGTAGCTGCTTCTTAGTTATTTCAATCAAAGGTTGACATTTTGGCTCTTTCAACTTTTACGTTCTTCTTTTCCTTTGAACTTAGACCTGGATGTGAGTCAAACTTAGCTATGCGTCCTTAGGAAAGTCAGGTTTTTTTCAGAGCCTCGGTATTTCCATCTGTAAAATGGGCAAGTTGAGTGCACTGGTCTGTGTGACTTAGCACCCCTCTTGGGATATTTGAGGATAAAGTGGTGGGGTGGGGACTACCTGAGTGGGACTAGGAATAAGACTCACGGAGTAGAATCCAGGTTCACATGACTGGTGCAATTCTTCCTGTCCCCAGAATCCTCCTTTCTTCCCAAGGCTGTAGCTTCCCCTAGGGTCTTCTGGATAAGGGGTTCTTGATGCAAGCCAGGCAACCACAGTAGTTGGGTGGCACTTCTGATGAGAAGGACCCACGCCGAGTGAAATCTTATCCAGGGATTGTCTCAATCTGTCAGTGAGGGTGGCCAGAGGGTTTTTGAAATGCTACAGATGCGAGCCGTTCAGAAGCCATGTGGCGCAGTAAGATCTTTCCTTTCCTCTTGTTCACAGGGAGACTACGAGGGGGACAATGTTGAGTTCAATGACAGGAAGGTAAGCTACTGTGGAACAGGGAGAAGATGGCCCTGGGACCGTGGGCTGCAGTGGGCTGGCGTCTGGGCAGAGCAGGAACCTGACTTGTTTGCCTGCGTGGTCTGCCTTGGGCTTCTTGCTCTAAGTTTTGAGTGTGAGCATTTATAGGATCATTGCCTTCCCTCCCTCATTTTCAGGAGAAAAACCTTAACTCTGCTTGGCAGGAGATCATTAATGTGTGAGAGGAAAAGGGTCCTCAGAGCCTGCCCCTTCCATGGTCCTTTCTCCGCCCTACCGCCCTTTCTGCCTTCCTGGGGTGTGTGCACCATGCCTGTGACTTTAACAGTCTTTGAAGGCACCTGGCCTAATCCCACACTGCTCCAAGTGAACAAACTTGGGACCCACAGTGACCAGGCACACAGAGAGCTGCAGCCAGTGGCAGCACCCTGGGGCAACCTGCTTGTGGTGTTCAACCCTGTGTTTCTCAGACTTGCCTGGCCTGGAGGCTTTTTGAATAGAAAAGTCACTGAGCTGGTGTTCCAAGGAACTTTCTTTGGGGAACAATAAGTGACCCTGTTCTTCTTTGCTGGCTGTTGTCCTAATTTCCCCAGTGCCCTGGAGCCTCGGTTCCCACTCTCCAGCCCCTTGTTCTGGGCCAGGGGTTCCCTCTCCTACCCAGACTCCCTAGGAAACTGCCCTACATGGACCCCCACCCCCACCCCGGCCGTTTGCTCTTCCTGCCCCCAATATTTCGGAAGGTTCTTTCCTGCCCCCTGCACACCTGCCCACACTGGGCTCCAGCCTCTGCTCAGTGTCCACCACTGCCATTCCTGTTCCCCCAAAGAATCCTCCCTCGGGGCATAGCCCTCTAGGACCTGGCTGGCACTGCCTTGCAGATCCGTCTACCACCCGGTGGTAGGTGGAGAATCTTCCTGGAGAGCTTCACAGTGATGACCTTGTCCCAGCTCCCAGGACCCAGGAACCTCTATGGATGGAATGTCCTTCATGTTCAGCCTCTCTCCAGCCCCCATACGTGTTTTTAAGTCTTTGGTGCTTGATACAACTTGCCTGCCCTGGTAACCCAGCTAAAGATGCTATCTCGTTGAAGACAAAATTACATATTTGGTTATTTTCAGTGTAACATCTGGCATTTGAGACCCTGTGACTTGTAGAACTCCCCCATCCAATGCTGTTGGAGAAGCACAGTCCCCACCAGGACCTGCCCTGGCCAACTGTAACCTCAGAAGCCATCCCCCTCGGTTCCCTAGTGCCCCTGCCGCTTGGCTGATGCCCTTCCTCCACCTCACAGCGCTTCCTCTGTGAGCACCAGCCGCAGTCCTCAGCCCTTCTTCCCTAAGCTGGACTCCTCCAACTTCCAGCCACACTGGCTGCCTTTCTGATCTCAAGATGGCTTGGCTAATGGTCAGATTGGTGGGACTATCTCAGGCAGGTCCTTATTCAAGAAATATTTACTGTCTTCTTCTGTGGGCCAGGCCCACTATTATCCTCTACCTGGAGTGTGCTCACCCCAACTAAATTCATGTCCCAGCAAGGAGTATAAGGCCTAGTCCACGAGATAGTCCAAGATTAATGATGGATGGATGGACAGACAGAGAGATGAACAGATGAGTGGATGGATAATGATGGATAGATAATAGTGGATAGAAGGTAAGAAGGGAGGGCGGGAGAGGAGGGGGGCGTGGAGATAAGTGTTAGTTTCCTAACTCAGAGTCTGGCGAACATCTTATTTCCCCTTGAAGGCGGTACTTTAAGTGGCTTGGCTCTGAGGATGTTGCCATTCCCATGACAACATGAGACTGAAGCTTCTCCATTACTGCTTCTGTCAGAAGCAGGAGCCCTGGGTGCCTGATCCCAGGTTCCTAGCAAGGCTAAAGGAAAATGCAGGAAGCACATTCTCTGTGCTGAGCTGGGGGTCAGGTGGGGGTGATCTGTGACCCCTCCTCCAGGGCCTCAGACGAGTTAGACTTTGATGAACTAAGCCTGACTGAGCAGGGCCTCGCCAAGAGCTACATGTGCACATGCTGGAGCCAGCTGGGCAGCAGCAGCTTGTCCTGCCCAAGCTGCAGAAGACCAGGCCAGCCTGGGCCCCATAGAACAGGGACAGCCAAGACCCCAGAGAGAGGTTTGCTGGGTTATGGGGTGTTTTCTCCAGGTGTGGACTGAGGTCTGCTCCACTCCATGCCGGACTGGGAAGCTACAGGCTCCACCTGTCCTGTCTTCATTCAGTAGTTCCTTACTGAAAACCTGTGATCCACCCCAGGCCCTGAGCCAGGCACTGAGGACACTCAGGAGCAGATACACCTGGTCCTCTGTTGAGGGGCCAACATCGCATTCCCATGAAGGCCTGTGGCTGTGCACTGACCGGCCTGCCCCAGGGTGTGGATCTGGATAGTTGCGCTGAAACCCTGGGGTGCGAGGGCCCTACCCTCTGGTTCTCAGCCCACTCATCCCAATGCCTGGCTCCTCCCTGTGTGCACTGAGGCTCGCATGGATCCTTGCGTTTCTTCCAGAGTACCAGTGAGATCTGTTTGATTTCTGCACACTTAGAGTGCAGGCTGGTGGCTCTCCTCTTCTTGGCAGGAAGAACAGTCTGCTGTGTTCAGGGGTTATGTAGGAAGCCACTCAGGGACCCAGGGTTTTTACAGTGAGGCCCCCTAAAATGCATTTTGCTCCTTTAAGTCGTTTTCTTCCCTGTTTCTCAGAGGTATATGTGTTGGCTTTGTCCTTGGACAAAACACAGCACTCAAGTTCACTGGGCTGTTATTTCTGAGAGCCGTGGAAGGAACCCAAGGGAGTTGGAAAAGCTCTTCGCAGGGTAGATCCCTCCCGCCAGCCGCTTCCGTGTCCTCGAGTTTGTAAGACTCACTCGAAGGAACTTTTGCCTGTCAGCTCTTTCAAGTCAGTAGGGGAGAGTGTCTTAGTCACCTCGGGCTCCAGGAACCAAACACCACCAGAAGCTCAAGGTTAAGGTGCTGGCCCTCTTGGGTCCCAGTGAGGACTCTTCCTGGCTTGCAGACAACTGCCTTCTTGCCTGGTCCTCATATGATGGGAGAAAGATATCTTACGTCTCTTCCTCTAACGAGGGCACTAATCTAGGATCAGGACCCCTCATTCGAAGCTGACCATCTCCCAAAAGGACTCATCTCCAAACACAGTCACCCAGGGTTAGCGCTTTTGCATATGAATTTGGGGGCACACACATTCAGTCCATAGCAAAGAGTATTTGGGATGATGTTTTCATGTCTCCACGGTAGATGTGAGTCTAGGAGACTGTCCCCCTGCCAATTTTTACATTTCAGTGTTGTCGAGCACGCTGCCTCTGGGAGGCTGAGGCAGCGGGATTGCAACTTCAAACCCAGCACAGGCAATTTAGCAACATAGTGAGACCCTATTTCAACATTAAAAAAATGTATTTTCAGGCTGGGGATTTAGCTCAGTGGCACCATGCCTGCCTTGCAAGCACAAAGTCCCCATCCATTCCATCCTCAGGCACCTAATACTATTTTAAATATTTAAATATATTTAAAGAGAGTGGGGACCCTTGCGCCCCAGGGATCCAGCACAGCTATCCAGATAAGGAGAGAGGACACATGCAGTGTAAAGAGGCAGGAGCCCATGGTGAGTCCACAGGGAAGGGGTGATTGAGCAGGCTGGTGACCCTGCCCTGCTGCACCTGAATGGGAGGGAGGACAAGTCCCCTGCAAGGTGTATGGGCCTGGTGCACAGCCTGGATGCCTCTCACCGCAGATGGCAGAGAGGCCCTGAGCCTCTGCACCTGAATCCAGCTCCTCCGTATCCACAGTGGCTCCCCTGTTCATTTCTGGGGGATAATCCAGCCTTCACCACCCACCTCCCTGGCCCAGCCTGGCTCCCTGACCTCGGCCAAGGGTGAGGCTGCCGCTCCAAGTCCCTTGCAGTGGCGCATGGCCCACTGGTGGATTTCAGGACCTGCCCTTCATCTATGCGCATTCAGGAAGGGACAGGGATGTGCGCAGGGGACTTCTCCCTGTTTGTCACTCAGGGTGTACGATTTACCCAAACAAGTACTCAGATCTCCCAGGCTATGGAGACTGTCTCCCATCCTGTCCACCCTCCAGAGGCTGGTGAGGAAATCAGGAGGGGATTTCCTGCCAGGACCTTGGACTCTGAATTTGGGTGGTGGCTTGGCCCTGGGAACAGGATCAGAGCTGAGCAGAGGGGGAGGGGCCCTGGGACTGGCACAGCTGTGGCCCCTGAGGCTCCCTGCATCCTCATGGCCCTGCAGAGGAAGGCTGTAACACTCTGGACTCAGTAATTTGGTGGCTGCCCACACGCGGGTGAGGGGTTGTCATACCCAGCAGTCCTGGCCCTGCGTCATCCCCGGGATACCTCTACGTGTTCACACAAGGCTTCCAATCCTCCAAGCTCATTACCACCCCTCCTAGAGCCCAGAGCGGAGGCAGGCTGTGTGTCGCTTTCATTTATGCCACCAATGCTGTTAATCAGGCAGCTCCTCTCCAGAGATAAACCTGCAGCTACCTTTGTGTCCCGTGAGATTTTCTTCTTTTTCTTTTTTGCCATTGATATCTCTCTGCTCAGAACCATGGTGATTTTGCATCCTTTAAAGGAATGATTTCGTGTTTGACCAGAGTGACCAAAAAACCCAAATAGGAAGGCTTCATGGTGGCAGGCGTTGTGGGCTAAATTACAAAGAGCTGAGATCCTGTGATCTGCCGGGAGCACCTTCCCATCCCCACCTTCACCTGGAAATGCAGCTCCCTCTGTCCAGCGTGCAGCCAGCTCTCAAGAGCTCACTGAATGAATGAGTGAGCTGGTAATGGGCTGAGGCCCCGCAGCACTGTGTTGTGGGGAGTGAGCCCGTCACGCTTCCCTCTGCAGCTCCTGTACGAGGAGTGGGCACGCTACGGCGTCTTCTATAAGTACCAGCCGATCGACCTGGTCAGGTACGTGGGGCGTCTGGCCTGGCATCTCAGGCAGCAGGAAGCGGGTCCCTGTGTGTTTCAGCCACTGCGAACATCCCGTTACCCAGGGACCTGTTGGAACTTGACGCTGTGGGAGGATCTGGGGCAGCACTGGCTGGAGCAGTTTGTTCACCGTTGCTGGGGAACCGGGAGACAGGCACTTTCCATCACATTCATTATCTCCCCTAAATCGACTGCCTGGCCTGGCCTGGCCCTGGCATCATGGTGGCGTGGAGGGGAGGAAAAGAGTTGCTTTGGGATTTGCCAGAATTTGAAAGGGATCCAGGATGGCCTCTGTCCCCGTGAGGCAAGAAGGAGGGGTGCCAGCCTGTCCTGTGGAGACCTGCACACCAGTCTGGCCCGTAGAAATCCATGTCAACCACAGAGGTGCCAAGGCGCCTAATGCGAGGAATGACTGCTTTGCACGGCACCTCCATGTCCAGGCTCATTCCAGTCCTTATACTGAGTGGGGCTTGGAGTGGGGCTGACGGCCTTGAGGGACACGTCCCGCCAGTGTCACAGGCAGAGGAGCACCCATCTTCTCAGGGCACAAGATGGGGATGCGTAGGAAAAGCAGAGAGCACCCCACACCTGATGAGGCGTCCCAAAGCCCCATTCTCTGCTTCTTGGGCAACAGAAGCTATGGCCCCAGTTGAGTTGGTCCTTGCTGGGGAGGGTGGGTGACCTGTTTTTCCCTGTAGCACAGAGTGAGAGTGAGCATGTCTCTGGCTTTGCCTCTGGGTGTAGGAAGTATTTCGGGGAGAAGATCGGCTTGTACTTCGCCTGGCTGGGTGCGTACACCCAGATGCTCATCCCTGCCTCCATTGTGGGAATCATCGTCTTCCTGTACGGATGTGCCACGGTGGACCAGAACATCCCGAGGTAGGCGGCAGCCCCTCCCCTGTGGCACATGCCCTTCCTGCTCCAGAGCCACCTCCCCTATTACAGAGACAGAATCCATTAGGACGCCGGCCTTCGGCCACCTCCTGGGCACAGGCTCAGCCCCCGGAGAAATCTCATGCCGGCCACAGCTGTCAGAATGAAGTGCTCATGGCCATAAACCCATAGGCATCCTTCTTGGGCATGAGCATCCTCGGGTGTGCTTTATATCCAGGAAAAGATATAAAATGAATACCAGAGACATTTTCATGCTTTGAAGGATTGTTGTTGTTTTTTTGCCTGTTCTGTTTAATTCTTACTATGTTCCCTGCACCATCACATGGTCAGTAAGAGACCAATGTCAGAGACCTTGGTGCAGGCTGGTGTGGGAGTGGGCCAACTCTGCCTGCCCAAGCTGCTGAGTGGTGCCTGCTTCCATCACACCCAGGGCGCACTTCATGGGAAGGGTGCCACAGCCACGGACAGCACCATACAGACCACCAGTGCCTTCTGCTAGTTACCTGGGGTTAGATCAGACAGCAGGGCCTCCAGAAGATGACCAAGCCCCAGAGACCACCCGGCCCATTTCTGAGTGCTGTTCTCCTAAAGTTCACATCATCCTCTGTGGGCACTGACTTGATCTGCTGATGTCAACCCGAGGACTACTATGTGTGCGTTGAGGCCCCTGAGCTGTCAGGGACACTGTGCCAATGGGCATCTCAGTGCTTGCCCTGCGCCTTCCTTGTGCGCATCACTATGCCAAGCATTGAGACCCTAATGGGAAATCTGAGCTAGGCCTGTCTTGCAGGAACTCATGGTCTCTAAAGAGTCTGAAGACAGCTGCTTCTAGTGATTCTGCCAAGTGCATATCTCCACTATGGAGCCATAGTTTGGCATATTCATCACTAGTTGTGGTCAGTAAAGAGCCAGTAAGTCTTTGGACTTGTGAAGAAGCTGGTTCTTAGCAGTCCAGAAAGACAAATCTGGCCAATTTTTGTTTAAATAATGATTAAGTACATGAATAACACCTCAAATATTCCACCCACCCAAAATCAAAGCTCTACAGGCCTCTGGCCCAGCCCCATCAAGTGCTATTTTTGCCCTAGGCAAGAGAAAGCTCCTTCCTTTGTTTGCTAGGGTGATGTGAGGTCCTCAAACTTGGGTTTGATTAGGGTAAAAATCAAAGAAGGCCAGAGCTGGAGGAGGGGTTAAGATTGGCTTTGCTGCAAGAACTCAAAGGCTAAGGGAAATGGCAAGTGGAAATGGTCTGGGGAGCCCCCATCTCCCTCCCTCCTGAAGGGAGGAAGCCCTGCCAGCCCAGAGTGTGGGCTCCTGAGAAAGCCACCAGCATCCTCTTGACACTGACAGCTCTGCCACTTTCCGTCACATGGTCAGATGTGCAGACAGCAGTTGGTGACAGAGACAAGGCCAGTGCCCAGCCTGCCCCAAACCCAGCCACTGCCCATCAGTGCCTCCCATAGAAGCAGATGTCTGGTTCCCCCAGAGACCATCCGGCAGGGAGGCCAGCAGCCAGCGTGGTGCCATCCTGCCGTGCCACACCCCTCCCAGCCTCCCTGAAGAACAGACCTTCCCACTCCTTGTCTTTATGTTGGCTGAGCTCAAACCCACAGGAAAAGGCTTATTGTCTGGCTGGTGGCATTAGCACTGGAAGCAGAGGCAGGCAGGGAGAGGCATCAGGCCTCTAGCCTGCCACCCTCAGGCAAGGTGGTCCCTTGGTGGTGCCTTTCACCCACAGTCCCCTGAGGGAAGGGCTTGGGACAGCAGAGAACTCCTAAACCTGCCAGGCACCATTGTAAAACCTATACACGTGCTGGTTGGTTGCATCCTCCTAATGACCCAGTGGTTACTATCAGTACCACCGCTCAGCAGATGGGGAAACTGAGGAGTAGGAGTTAAGGAAAACCTGCCTGAGACCACACAGATCAGAATCATTGGAGCTGAGAGTCAAACCCAGAGTGGCTGGTGCGAGAGCACACATATCTCTTACTGCTCATGGTGTCTGGTCCTTCTCCCTGCTCTTCCCAGGCATGCGCACGCATGTGCACACGCACACACACACACACACACACACCTCCCCAGACACTCTGGGGCCATGACCTTAGCTGTCATTAGCTTTTCCTCCATCTTCCCCTGCTAGACACAGTACCTGGGAGCAGTGTAGTGGATTTGCCATTCTGAAATAGACAGGTGGGGGCCACAACTGAAGGAACAGAGCTGAGCCAGGATGCCCTGCTTCCTGGGCGCAGAGCAGCATCCCCCAGAACTGGTGGCAGATGCCTACTAAACCCCAACTGCCACACACCAGGTATGTTTCTGTAGTAGGTTCATGTATATCCAGAAATCTAAAAAACAAAACAGAAAGCACCCACTCTGGCTGTGTCCCAGATGACCATCTAACCCCTGGGAATGAGCCTCCAGCCTGTGCGTCTATTTATAGATTGGGGTCTGGTCCAAGTTCACAGGAAGGAGAGAGTTCAGGGCAGGTCACAATTGGAAGGGCTGTATTCTGGCCCCTCTTCCTTGTTTTCCAGAAAGAAAGGCCAACTTGGAACTTGAGGATTTGTCCAAAGGGACAGAGTAAAGGACAATCTGTCAAGCACCTGACCTCAGCAGAGAACCTCTAGCCCCTGAGAGCGATTCTGTGCACAGGCTTTGACGATCCAGAGACCGGGGGTCAGGTCTCATTGTGCTGTTGGCTCTGAGGAAGTTACTTAGGTTTTCTGGGCTTTTCCTCATCTGTGAAGGTGGGATAGTAATGCCATACTGTAGTCCTCAGGGCTGCTGCTCACTCACTGGCGGCCTTTCAGTCTGCGCAGAAGAGAGCCTGGGCCAGGGGCCTCAGGTCTCACACGGCTCCCTGTCCTGCATGCTGTGTGTGGCTGCACCCCAGATGGCCTGTCTGCTCAGCAGGATGGAGCCTGCCGTGCCTGGGTCCCCCCAGTCTGGCCATCTTGGGGATGTGTTCCTTCCATCCTAGCCTCCAGGAAAGTCCCAGCACCCCTTTTCTCCCCTCTGAGTGTCCAGAACACCCCAGATTATCGTGGCTGGGTGCCCAGGTGGCTCCATAGGGCAGCTGCACACCTGGACAAAGGGAGCTGCTATCTGAGTGCTCAGCACAGGGCCTGGCCGGCAGCTTCAGGGTTCTCACTGAATTTTACTCTCTGCCTCCTTCTGGGTCCCAGGGCCTGGCCGCATGATATCCATGCAAAGATCGGAACCCAGTGTCTTTAGTGCGGTGCAGTGGTTCCCAGTGATGAGAGGGATGGGGATGCTTGGCTCAGGGTAGGGCGAGACCCAGGCTGTGAACGCCACTGCCCTGGGATCACCTTAGAGGGAGGGCTCTGTTCCCCTCCTGCATCGAGCAAGCCTGGATGCTTGGCCACATGGCCAGTTCGTGCAAAATGACACGTCAGGGCCCTTGTTCAGACACTGCTAGGGTTTTAAAGCAGCTGGCTCAGGGCCTCACAATAAGCCTTGGGCCCTGTGGCAGAGCTCAGGTTGAGGACAGCATGGGTGTCACATCTGGGAAGCCAGCTCCTGGTGGCACAGGAGGACGGGAATGACTGAAGCCAGTTGATATGACTCGCTGTGTCTGCTGTGCTGTGCCATGGCCCCAGGAGGTGTCCCGTCAGCGCTGGGGACTGAAGTCCACCCTTCTCTTGCAGCATGGAGATGTGTGACCAGAGGCACAATATCACCATGTGTCCTCTCTGTGACAAGACCTGCAGCTACTGGAAGATGAGCTCAGCCTGCGCCACAGCCCGTGCCAGCCACCTCTTCGACAACCCAGCCACTGTCTTCTTCTCCGTTTTCATGGCTCTGTGGGGTAAGCGAGTCCGGCAGTGTGTGGGCCACCGCAGTGATACGGTGCCCCTCATCCATAGTGGGGTTTGCCAGGGATGCACCCAGGCTGGGGTGGAAATCACTGCCATATCACTGGGTCTGTGCTGCATCAAAGATGCAGGGGTATTACTCTGTCCCGACAAGAGCCGGCTGCCTGGGCAGCCCAGGAGGTGCTTTGCTCTTAAGGCCCTGGGGCCCGGGCTGTCAGCCCAGGGAGGGCAGCTGCTTCAGAACACAGTGGCCAGGGCTCCACAGCCTTCCCTGCCATGAAGGCTGTGCTAGCTATGCTGACTGTGATCCCTGTAATAAGACTGCCCTGGGCCAGGCCCGGCGAACCTGTCTCCTTAGAGCCTCACGGCCTCCCTGCCGGCTTCCCGTGCCCATTCTCAGATGAAGAAGCTGAGGCCCAGAGAGGGCATGAAATACTGGGGTTGTGCAGTTCCTGAGCAGCTCAGGCAGACACGTGTGCACGGGCCCACGTACATGCTCGTGTACACACATGTCCCCCAGGTGCTCCGGGGCAGCAGCCTGTGCTGCCATTAGGCTTTTCTTCATCTCAGTGTCCTCTTCCTTGTCGCAGAGCCTGGCACATACAGGGCAGCATGTATACAGTTCTGAAATAGATGTCTGGGTGCCATCTCAGAAGGAAGGAAGTAAACCTATGATTCCAGCCCCGTGCCCCAAATCCTGGACCCCCTTTTTTCTAGCAGCCGCAATGAATGCTCCCCTTCCAGGGAATTCCCAGTCCCAGTCCCACCTGGCCCCCGACTCTAGCCTCAGGAAGCAGGAGGCTGGTAAGGGGCGGCTGATGCCTGTCCGAAGACACTTCTGGTTAGCAAATGGAGCTGCCCTTCTCTGCGAGCGGGGCTCGTCAGAGCGTTGGCCCCTGAGGATTTGGGATTTGTGCAGTGAATAGCTGTGCTGTCCCCACTGGTCCCCGGACCCCCAGTCCTTTCTTCCAGGGCCTTTGGGTAATAGGTGGGACCAGGCAGGAGACAGCAAAGGAGCGGAAGGGTCAGGACCTGTCAAGAAAGGAAGTCAGGAGGGCTTCCTGGGAGAGGCGTGAGGCCCTTGGCTGAGATCTGAAGATGTGATGGCAAAAGAGCCGCATGGTGAGAGGCCAGGAAGCAGCCTCGCTGGCTTCCCTGAGTCTCACTGGGCCCCTGCGGCAGGGCACGGTCCCAGGACTTGAAAGTGCTCCAGCTCTTTACCACCTGAGTGCCCAGCGGGCAGTGATGGACTGAACTTGATCACTTTGCGTGGCTCTGTGTGCCTCACTGTCTGTGACCTCTATCCTTGAAGATCCTATGTGTCCTGTTCCTAAGTGGAAACAATGTCTCTCAAAGATGTGCCTGAGTCCCTGAGGTCCAGGCCCTGTGATTCCAGGTCAGATTCCTCCTGACAGAGGGGCAGCTCCTCGGTGTTGCTGGCTCCTCAGGGTGGGTTTGGAGCTGGAAGCCAGGGCCAGATCTGAAACCAGCCCGAGACGGCTGTGTGTAGGGCTGAGCAAGTCTGAGGCTCGGGTGCTGATCTGTGGGCTGCGCACCCCTCCTGCCTGTCCTTTGGTGCCCAAGTCCTCCCCGACTGGAGCCCAGCAGCCTCTGCAGCCCCAGAAGTTCTGTTTAGTCTGGGGCTCTGTCTGTTGATGTTTAAGAGAGTTTTTCAGCAGGGTCGCAGAGGCAGAAGCGCAGAGCTCGTCTTAGCATCCATGTGGCCCTGACTTTGTGCACTCAGGTGTGGTTGGGAGGCATCAGGTGAGCAGGGAGCAGGGAACCTGGCCTGCCCTCAGCTCCTACTCCAGCCCTAGCAGCGGGACTGAGTCCTTAGCCAGCTGGGTGCCAGCGAGGGTGTGGGTCAGGGCATCTCCCGGCAGATGCTGTGTAGCCAGCCCTGGCTGCACACGGAGACTCTTGGAGAGCAGTTAGGGATCCACATTGGCGTCCCTATTGCGTGGGCTCCATCCTGTCCTCGTCCACACTGTAGCACCTGGCACACGGGGCCGGAAGGCCAAGTCCATTCCACCCCAAAGGGTTACCAGGCAGCTCTTTCCCCATTCAGGGTCCCTACAGCCCTGTGCAGCTGCTGAGCAAACCCACTGGGGGTCCTGTGAGTGAATGTGACCCTCACGGTGCCAAACCACCCCAATCACTAGGAGATCATTCGATGCCAACTTCCGTGGGCAGCCAGTTAACCCATTGGGTACCCAGATGTCCACCTCTGCCACATCACCACCCCCTCACTGTAAGCTCAGCTGCTTCATCTGCAGAACGGGCTTGAGAGGAGATGAAATAGTGAATATAGTCATGGCAAGGCTTAACACGCAGCTGGTTCTCGGCACAGTGTGTTGTCAGTGCCACTTCATCACAGCGAAGTATTGTGAGAACTAGGTAAAATCTATATGAAAGTGTCCACAGTGTGCCCAGCATGTAGGAGACATTACCAACTAGTATTGATGGAATGTGTCACAATCTGGCACTTCAGCAAACCCTGTGAAGCAAAAACTGATGAATTCACTCCTCCTAAAACTTCACCGTCTAGGATTCCAAGGGACCCATATGTGCAAAGTCCCTGTGGTGAGGTGTGGGCCTGGGGAAAGAATCTGTGGGAATAGGAAGGAAGATGCTGGCCAATCCTGGAGAGGCCAGCAAGGGCATGCTGTGACGAGCTTAGTGTTCTCACAAGGAGGAACCAGATACCAGGGTAGTCTGTTCAATATGTTTTCCTGTCTGATGCCTGAGATAGAGGCTATAAACCTGAGGAAGCTCAGGCAGTGATCAGGAAGGAGTTTTCTCTGACTGGAGACAGCAGCTATAGCTTTCACTGGAGATCACTGAGAGCTCTGTGGGATGCACTATAGTCCCCATGACCTTCTCATCTGTGGCTATGTGTGACAAGAAGCCACTTTGTCGCACTGTGGGGCAAAAGTCTGGGAAAGTGGCTGAAACGAAGGAAGGTACAAGTGAAGCGGTCCTGGGAGGGTCCTGACTGTGTCCCCTCATCTCCCTCTTTCCCCCTTTAAAATTCTGCCCTGGTGATGAAGCCCCCATGGTGAAGAGTCCTCTGATAATGCCACAGTGAGCTCTCCAGTCATCCAGAGATTCGAGTGGGTTCCACTGAGTGGCTTCCTCTATGGCGTGGGTTAGAAATCACAGCCCTCTACTGCCAACCAAGAACAAAAGGCTTTGAAATTGCCCTGGAGGTGCCTGGCCCAAGCCCTGCCCTCCCTGAGGGCTGCCCACCCAGCCTCATCTCAGCCTTAGGAAGGGAGCAGCCACCCGCATTGCCCTGCTCACGTCCCCTGTGGACGTGTCTACCATCATGGGGTCCTCCGCCCTGTGCTGTGTTTTCTGGGCGCTTGTTAAAGCACAGATCCTGGGTTTCGGGTTGTAGCTCAGAGGTAGAGCACACAGTTAACCTTCACCAGCACCAAAAGCATACGGACTCCTGGGCACCACGCCTGACCTGCTGACGTGGGGCCCAGGGCCATGGAATCTGCATGGTGACAATCTCTGAGCTGCCCTATGCCTGTGGGTATCTGAGCTCCTGACCCATCTGTGGCCCCGTGCTCTCATCCTACCATCCCTGTGTCCAGATTTATGGCCAGTGCATCTCCCCACTCTCGGAAGTTGCTTCTGTTCTCCAGAGCCCAGCACCCACCCCATCTTCAAGGGGGCAGCATTAATGGTGCCACCAGGTCCGGTTGCTGGAAACATAGAATGAGGTGTGACGTGTGATACTGTCAGGCTGAGCCTGCCTATGCCTGGATCTGGCCCTTAGTTTCTACTGGCTGGTACAAGTGGGCATTTTTTTTTTTTACATATGTGACGGACATAGCCGGGGAGATTGGGTTAGGGCTCAGATCAGAATTGTGCCTTGTGCTGGGGCTTCTGCCAGTTCGTTGACTTCATCTCCTTCACAACAGAGTGATCAGCCACACAGGTGGCCTGGGCCTCCGCTGTGCTGATCTCTGTTATGCAGACTGTCACCTCCCCAGCGATGGGACAGGTTGAGAGTCTGTGATCCCATGGGGAGGATGTGCACACTGAAGCAACTGCCCCCGGCCTCCAGCCAGCCTAACAGCCAAGAGGCAGAAGCAAGACATGAGCCCCATTATTCTGGCTCCAGAGCCCCAGTCACTTGAAGGCTGTGTCGCTCAGTGGCTGTTCCAGCAGGTGCTTTGCTTATTCCTGACTCGCTTGCCTCAAATGTACCCACTTACCTGAATAGCTTCCCCATCTATCTTCGCAAAAGCACGCCTCCTTCCCCGTAGACTGTTTGTCAGACCCCAGACTTAGCGCTCTGCAGGTGCTGTCTGAGGAATCCCCTGTACAGCTCCGGAAGGAGGTGCTGTTATTTTCTCTGATGAGGACACTGAGGCTGGGAGAAGTTAAGTGACTTTCCCAAGATCACACAGCTAACAGAATGATTACAGCTCCGTGGCCTGGCCCATCTGCCTCCAAGATCCCAGGGAAAGCCCTGCTCACATCTGTCTCCCCATTCAGTGCCCTCTTAGGGGAGCAGGGTTTTACCCAAAATCAGGAGTGAGGGATACACAGGCGGTGATGTTGCCCTCAGGTGTGATTATGTTGTAAACACTCACTGCTGTTGGCCAGTCCTGCTGCGGCCCCGGCCTCAGAGACCCAGCAGCCTGGAGGATCTCATTCTCCCAGGACTGGGGAAGGAAGAGGAGGCTGTGCCCCTGCCTCTGCGGGAGACACCAACGTGCCCGCCCTGTCAAACGGAGATTCAGCCAACGTACCCCATTTGGAGGGGAAAAAACATGTCACAAAAAAGCCGAACTACTCCCACAAAGCCCTTTGGAGAAAGGAAGTTTATTTAAACCGGGACACAAACAGCAGGAAGGAACGAGTTGGGCCTGAGCGGTTTGGAGCCATCCACCCCCACAACCTGCAGGGTGGGTGCAGAGGTGACAGCGAGGCCTTTCCCGGCCCTTTCTCACTGCTGTCAAGTGCAATTAGCATT